GAAAGCCAGAAGGAATGAACATCTAAAAACTATAGGATTTTTAGACTATAATTTCATTCAATACTCTCTCAGGTCTATGTTTAATGAATATTCCACAAAAACACTAGGACAAAACGATCATTTTCTTCTTCCTTATCTCACAAAAAAGACGGTTGGAAGGTATTTCTGGAGGTTATCGAGTCCCACCTCTTGCCTGAAGCAGGATTATTGACAGATGACACCAGGCCAGCTGTGATTTCATCTAGCCAAAGCTTAAAAGCTCAAAAGATGGCGATTTCATAACCCCTCTGAGCAACCTGTGCCCATGCTACCTCACCCACCTGGTCACATTTTTCCCTTTCGAAATTCCAATTCGAACCACTAAACCACTGCTTGAGATGAGTTTGGTTTCATCATTTCTACACAGAAATTTTACACGGAGGAAGTGGTGAAGCCCTGGAACAGGTTGACCAGGGAAGTGGTGGAGTYGTCATCCCTGGCAGTGTTCAAGAAACATGTAGATGAGGCATTTAGGGACATGGCTTAGCAGGCATGGTGGTGATGGGTTTATGGTTGAACCTGATGAACTTGCAGGTCTTTTCTAACCATAATGATTCTGTGACTTTTATATGATCTTCCTATGATCATGTTGTAGCTGAGGAGTTGTAAACTGTTCTCAGATTACCTCTAAATTCTCTGACTTCTGCTGTAACCTCCTGATCTTCCCAATGAAGCTGCTCTTCAGAGTTTGTTTCCCAGCCTGAATTGATGTATGGGGCTGTCTGTSCCCAGGTGCAAAGCTTCTGGCTGAATTTCCATGATATTTCTCTAGAGTCTCCAGCCATTTTTTCCTGGACCCTGTGCCTCTGTGACAGCATCCAAACAGATTTTGCTTATCAAGTCTCCAATAAAAGCTGAAGTTTGCTCTTTTGAAGACTACAGTATTAACTTACTGTCTTCCCAGACTTCCTTTGAATCCCAAACTGAACCAATTCACAGCCACTCTGACCTTAACTGCTGTCACATTTGCCACTAGTTCTTCCCTTTTGTAAACAGCAGGTCAAACACACAAAAACACAATTACTCCTCTTTACCCCATTGTGCATTTTCATTAGGAAAACATTAGCAGTGCAGTCAGGGAATCACCTGGCTTGCCTGCACATCGCCAGCATCTTACTAAAAAATAATTCAAATAAGGACTTCCTTGAAGAATGTGATGACTGTATTGATGAAGCTACTGGTGTATGGCTTTTATCCACTTTCACTAAACTGAAATTCCGTTATTTAAAATTTAAAATGTGACAAAACAAAAAAAAAGTGAGAAAAAGTGGATAGATTATGCCAAATGTTCAACCATTTAAGCTTTATAGATATATTCATTACAGTAAGTTAAAWGAAAGTCTGCCATCAGCTTCTCAAGTCAGACGTACAAAGAATTATGATATTGCAAACACCTCTTACACTGGAGAAGTTACTGTTCCAAATATTTTTAGCTGGCACAAATGAAATCTGCCCGAAGTTTTGTCATATTATAACTGCATGGGTAATAAATTTCCCTATGTGATCACCATGCAAATTACCTCTGAAAACCTATTATAGTGAGAACCAGGTAKTTTTAATGGATAGCACTGCAGTGGTTGGAATCATTTTAATTACAAAAAATTATGTGAGGAAACCTAATTATAAATGATGCATCAAGGGATCTATAGGGCCAGTAGAATTATCAATAATGATAATTAATTTCCCAAAGGATTTTAAGTATTTTGAAACTGGTCAGCACCGAAGACTTTCCAAATACCTTTGCATTTTAAAGGCAGACTCATCGGCGAATCCTACAGCATTGCACAGAGAGAGTGTGATCACTATTCCCAGTTAATAGGTGTGAAAATCACTGTCAGGATTAACTGTAGGATTTTCGATAGTGCTCGGTTTCCTAGACCTCCTACTTAACTGAGTATGCCATAATTAGCTACATGGGCATTTAAATAAAAAAGGGCTCATCCTCATTCAAGGATTAAGGAGTTTGCAGGTCAGAGCTTCTTCACAAAGGAAGTCAGAGGAGAAAATCTGGCCTCCTGACTCATGTTCAGGTGTCTCGCAAACAGAGCTGATGGTTGTATTCCCAGTGAGGAAATGCAGCAGCAAGAAGTGTATTATTTTAGTAACAACATATTACATTCATTTTTGTGCTTTTGCGTTCTAATGGTCAGTGTGGCATACAAGGAATTATCATCCATATTACTAAATTAACAGTATCCTCTTCCTTTTCAATAGACTGAAATAAATGTCTGCTYAGAAATATAAGATTTTGGTTGATAGTTCAGTTCTACTCAAGATTCTGCCCTAATTAATTGACACCTTAATTTCTGACACCTTCAAATATGCCTGCCATACCAAGTCACATTTGTAGAGAAATGGAGCTTTCCRTGTCAGTAGTGCTAATATTACAGGAGACGTTGGGACTTTCATTGCAGAACACATTATTCTGAAAATCTAGACAGCAAGAATACTGCAGGACAGGAATAACCATGGAATATTCATGCTTCGCTGGGTATTCATTCACAGAATCACAGAATGGTTGAGGTTGGAAGAGACCTCTAGAGATCACCTAGTCCAATCCCCTGCTCAAGCAGGGCACACATGGAGCACGGGGCACAGGGTTACGTTAATTCTTCCCAAACACCAGAAAATGGAGGTTGGTGTGAACAACAAATTGAGAATAGGGCTGTGTCAGAATTTGCGTTATTATCAGGAGATAAAATAGCAAAGTAACTTATTTCAAAGCAAAATAAAAAAAATAAAAAAATCATTTTTTCTTCCTAAAGGATTTGTTTCAACGTATCTCCAGGAATTTGTTTCAATACATCTCTTGCAGCATTCTTTTGCTTTGTATTGGCTGTGTACCAAGGGGTTAGGAATGCCATCGTCTTCTGTTTCAGATTTTTCTACTATTTTTACTAGAACTAATTAGTAAGTTAAAATCAACCACATGAAATATAAAGAAACATATGTCCATATAAGTRTACTTCTGCAATACCTTGTAGCTCTTCAAAATGAATGGTTATCCCATGCTCAGTGGGGTAATGATTCTCTTCTTCAGGATTACTCCTTCCACACTCTGCAGCTTCTTGGTCTCCTTAGCTATTAGTTACTTTTGAAGTTGCATTTTTTGCTGTTTTTAAACCTTTTGAGGCCTTTCTCAGAATTCAGCCTTACCAGCTTTCTGACAAAAGTTTCATTAGTCTAACCTAGACATTATATTAGTATTTTTTTTCTCTACACATGCATTTAAGGAATCATAACATCAATTCCGTCTCCAGGTGAGGAAGAACTTCTTTACTGTGAGGGTGACAGAGCAGTGGAACAGRCTRCCCAGGGAGGTTGTGGAGTCTCCTWCTYTGGAGGTCTTCAAARCCYRCCTGGATGCCGCCCTGTGCCACATGCTSTAGGTGTGCCTGCTTGAGCAGGAAGGTTGGACTAGATGATCTCTAGAGGTCCCTTCCACCTTAAATATTCTGTGARTCTGTGATACTAGACCATATAAGGCCTTAATASACAACTTAATGAAACAATTAGTTTAAATATTAATTAAAATATGTTGCTTGTTATAATCCTTGGGAGAAAAWTTCATCCTAAAGGAATGTCTCATAAATGGAAGGTTTTATATCCTTACTCAAAACAAAGGACAAAGGCCAAAGAACAATTCATTTATCCAAGCCAGGGAAGCAAGGTGTGGTTTCCAAACTTTTATGTCCTGATTAAAAACTGTATCATGATTTAGTTACTCTGAATCTCTCTGATCCAACAAGTTAAGCAGCTTGAGATCTTAATCAGAAGCAACCAGAAAAATGTAATGCAAATTAGTAGGTTATGAAGCTGATGAATACGTAAGTGGGTGAGATTCCTTGGCTTGGGATACCCAGCAGRCCAGGTTAGATCCTCAGAACAGCTCTTATTCTAGCTTTAAACACAGCCAATCTATAAATACTGAAGTGCAGAAGAAAAAAAGATTTAGTATTTTGTGTTGCAACAGACATTATATTGAGAGCTCATTTCATGCTTTTAACAACAGCTGCCTTCCAAGTCAACGGTGGCTCTCCTCAYACAAATGAAAAAACAGATGAACTGTTTCATCAGTGACACTCAGTGTTCATATAGCACAAGGCAAAAAAGAACCCTCTCAGCATTTTCCCTCTTTTTTCACTGGAAACAAACTAAATGGATAAAATTCTGCTACCTCTCTTCCATACAATAGGATCTTTTGGGAGTGCAAGAAGAAAGAAATAGAAAGGGGTTCTAGGGTCATTTTACTCAATCTCTTCCTACTACAGATAATCACACCAAAGAATCCCTTTTAAAAAGGTATCAAGTRTTATTGTATATGCAGTTTTCTTTTTCTCTCACAGAAAGCTCTTCCATATTATGATTAATGATTAAGACTTTTTTTTTCCAAGTTTTCCACTTAAATTTATTCACAGCCAGTTTATACAGATTTTCTGTTTTCCCATATTTTTCACTCTTTGTGGCACTTATCCTTCAAGATATGTACACAGAGCAACTATGGCCTACTTCAGGTTTGTTTTCACCAAACTAAACAAGCCAGACCTTTCAGGGCACACTCTCAGGGACAGGTACAAACACATGTGCAGTCACTCCACCCATACACGCAGTGAGCCAGATGAGTCACTGATCCTAAAATCTTCTAGCTGTGCTAGCAAGGAGTTACTGCAGCTGCTACACCTGTTAAGAAGCAGAATATTTTGCTCAATCTCAGCATTGCTCTAACGCAACCCTGTTGTTTAGGAACTCGTGAAGGATTGCATCCATATATCATGGACCTCAGGTTATCATTCATCTCTTTGATTTTTCTTTTAGCACTCTCCGTACCTGTAATAGTTTCACTTCATCTTCCTTTGAACAYGGGTGTCAACAGCCAGATTCTGTCTGAGCTGCACTAATTGTTTTAGCTCCCTTTCTTTGCAGTTGCCATGAAAGAAAGCAAATAAAGAAAAACATCTGACCTGGTGTAGTCGTCCTCCACAAGCATGTGCTTTGGAATGGGTGAGTATCTTCCTGGTGAGATCGGGGCCAGAGATGCCTTGTACTCTAAAGTGCCATTGTTTCCAGAAGTGAGTATATGATTTTCCATTGGTGGAGAATAAGCTGATGGTAAGAACAAGCATTTCTTGTTAGCCACATTCCTGCTTGGTTATGTCACAACATCTTCAGTAAAGTACCAACAATGTGCTCACTGCTGTATATAACACCAAAACAGTCTGTGCCTGAGAGAGATTAAAATTTAACGTGGCAGTAAAACAATGAACAGTTGGGATTTTCCCAAAATATTAACACTAATAATAATAATAACAACAACAACAACAATAACATTGTTATTAATAACATGGTCGTTCTGCAGAGTGTGAAAGAACAGTATGCAAGAGAGGAAACAAACATTTTCTTTAATTATGACAGACTAGAAAAAGGAATTTTAGGTAGGAAAGAATGAGATGAAAAATACACTCATCATTTTGGCTCCAATAAAAATCAATGGGAATAATCCAATAAGAGCTTAATGCAGGATTAAGGCAGGAACTTTAGATATGGCAAGGATTATGTGTGAGGAATATTTAAAACTGGGATATATTAAAGTGTCAAATTTCTAATATAATTGAAATTTCAGTACCAATATAGCTGGCATGATCACTCAGATCTCGGTAAATCTGGATATAAAACAGAAAGCAGATTCAAATGTTATATATGCCATGATTAATAATGCTAATTATGGGAATACAGGTCTAATTTTATATTGTGTCTTCAGATTTTGTTGTTGTTTATCCGCCTTTTCCCGTTCTCAAGTTACTGGGGATGTTATTAATGGAGAGATGCAATAACAATTCAATTCAAATCTCTAGTTAATTCARTTGAAAAGGAAATGACAAATAGGAAAAATAAAGACACATATGTCTTCAGTGAGCTATGATTTTCTCATGAAACTAAGACATTTAAACTTCCTAGTCTTAGTCTTTCAAATGCTTAGATATGCAATGTTTCAAAACAAAATATCTCTATGGGGAAAGGCTATTATCCACACTGAAATACTCTGAACATGTAGGTATAACGAAAGGCTCCCAGAGGATAAATAAATCTCCATGAACCAACAGCCTGGGATGGGTTATTGCMATTTTTTCAACCTTTTTCAACCTCTAGAACTGCTTCCATCTTCTCATATGCTGCTGATCTGACCTAACAAAACATACTGTTTTAGAGTCCCCTATGTTATTATTTTAGGAATCATTACAATGCAGGAGATTGGATGGGGATATTTAGTTGTTTTACTTCTCAGGCTTTGCTAAGAATCCAGACGAGACTGTTGCTGAACAATCATGCCATCTGTTGTAACATTTGCTAAGTAAATAGGTGTCCTCAGCACAGTCGAGTACACCACCTGATGTGCATATTACAAAACCTTCCCTTCCGCTTTTATGGAGTCTGAATAAGGAGGATTATGAACAGTTTTATTTCTCTTCAGCTTTGTCAGTCCACAGTTGAGCAACACTATGAAGAAGTGCTGAAGAATTTAATCTCTGGGCTTTTTTTTTTCTTTTTTTACAGGGAAAAGCTGCCTTTTCCAGGCCTTGGTTGTCTTCATGGCCTTAAATGCCCCTAGTATTATTGGCAGATGGTCTAATAGGATATGGATCAGTTACTGACACAAATTAAACTGCCATCCAGTTGTTCGATGGTGGCAGCTGGTCCCAGCTGCTAGTGGAACTGCAGTCACACAGTATTTAAACATCAACTACATGAGGGAAGGGAGTTCCAGTAATGAACTGGTCAGCCTTGCAAGAACTGGGGAATAGACAGCTGCAGTGGAAATATCTTAATGTTGCTGTGAGTGAAAAGGGATGGGAACGGCTCCGTGTGGAAGCACCAGGAGGAATAGTAGGAAGGTACAGCTATAAGAAAGGGACCTGTTGATGGCACCTTAATGGGTCCTTAATATACTCAGCAAAACTCCACTTTCTGAGGACAAACCAGCCTATATTCAAATTAAAGCAAAGACTCGAGGCATTAGGAGAAGATGGGAGTAGATAAAGATTGAATTTGGAGTCTAGGATGCTCAGATAAGCAGACAAAGGACACCAGTCAAACCAAAGGATTATCCCAAAGAGGATACACAGATCCTCTGTCACTGTCATCTCCTAAGAGGTACAAAGGCAGATTGACAGGCTAAGGATTCATATACATATATATGTATATGCTGGGAATCCCATAGCCAGCCTCCCTTGTGCTCAGTTGTCTCAGGGAGTCCTGGACAGATCATTTGGATACCTGTCTTCGTACCTGAGTGCCAGGCTTGAATGAGTTTGCTGGCAAGAGAGTATGAAAATTGTGGTAAATTGTGGTAATTTGTGGTATGAAACTTGAGGTAAATCAATTTGTTCTAAAATAAATCCACCTTTTCCCACACACAAATCTTGCACTGAGCTTTGCTAAACTGTTTCCACAACTTTTCTAACAACAATTTTTCAATACAATGTCTTTATTTTCAGTGATAGAATGTCAGATGAACATATATAAAGGACAAGACTGAGAATGAAGCAAAGTGGGAGAGGATTTTAAAAATGCAGAGAAAATTGATAGATTTGTGTAGGTAGAGCAGTAATTCAAATTCCAAGTAAATATCCAAACACCATATTCATTTTCCTCAGATTTTTTCTCATGTAAATTTGTACAGGATGGCGTGTTGCTGGTTCTAATTTTTCAGTGGACAGAGGGCCAGGCAACAAATACAATAATATCTCTGTATATATTTGCATATATTTATCACATTAACTGTCATAAGAGACACTGTTCAATCTGCTTGTTTGGACAACGGTTGACTGGAATTAGCTCAGTAATACATTATCTACATTGCTACTTTTGCTGCAAAAGTATTTTACAGTACAGTTATATTATTTGTGGTATTTCATTAGTGTGAAGCATACTTACGGGGTAATAAACATTCATTTATGGAGCTTCCCAAGCTGTTTCATAAAGTTTAATGGGGTATTTTGAACAAGCTATGAAAAAAGACACATTCATTTGAGAAACTGAAGTCTCATGCAAAATGAACTGCAAAAGTCACTTACAATGAGTAATATCTGGCGGGCCATAAGGATCGGTCATGTAAATGGTGGTGGGCTTTCCAACTTTGAGATACACGACATCTGATGTGTTCTTCAGTATCGCGACGGCCTCTTCATGGGTAACTTCTTCTAGACTGTAATTATTTACCTTGAGGGAGAAATAAGACAGGTGAGTTCAGATGCAAAAAACAGACACAAAAAACTCATGCAGTCTTGAAGTTATCACCATGTTAAAAATAATGCTGAAGAAAAGCCTTGATGATTACAGAACTCATTTTAACAGTACTGATAATATCAGAAAATTATAATAGTCTATCTAAATATTTTGAGATGGCAGAAGGACTTGTTAGTACAAAATTCCTTTGTTATATTCCACTGCCAGTATCATCATTAACTTTAAATTTAACATTAACATTAACAAAAACATTAAATTTAACATTATCATCAATTATCATCATAATACTATATKTAAAAATAATTCAGTAACTCAGCACCACATCATCTATGGAATGTACTTATGTTATTTGACGTCTCCAGATCAACTGCCCAAACCTCAGAAATACTCCACACCCTAAAATCTTTTCACCCATGACATTATGTTGACAGTTGAATAGAGGTAGTTATGCAAGGGGGAAAAGAGATTTTGTATGTGAAAGACTGTCAGTTTTCTGTAAGCACAACACACACACTGAAGTGCTAAGAAGATGTCTGCATTGATTCTGCGTGTTTCATAAGGACAGAGAAATACCTAACCATAAGCATGGAGAGGAGGACAGGACTATAGATCAAAGAAGGAAGAAGATGGTGACAATAAGTCTTGCTTATTTATGTAGTTTAAAAAAAAAAAGGTAAAAAAAGACAAAAATAAAGCTCAAGTATAGTATATAAATGTGAAGTATAAAATTTATTCACATGTAAATCCACTGTATCCACAGGTCAGCAACTGTAGGCTCCTAGGAGCAGAACAGTGACTGGTTCCTGCCCTGAAAACGATGCAAACTGAACAGAAAGTTACAGGAGAGAGAAAAAAAGTAACTAAAGCTTCAGATTTATTTCAAATTAGTGTATGCCTACAGGAAAGCCTACTTTTAGAGAAGACACTTATATATAAAACATTTTACAGTGATTTAAAGGGCTATTCTTGAACATTTACAGTTACTGCAAGCATTCCTTGCAAAGCGTTCAAGCTTATGCAAGATGGAAGAAGCTCCTCAACCAAGATGAATATAATATAGCTATAAATCAGAGAATGCAATAACTAAATCAGTATTAGTAAATTATGAGAGACTTGGCTGTGAAAAGGCATAATAAGTTACTGCCATAGGGTTTGGCAACTGGAAAGAAATCCAGATATTATGAAGTACTGGAGGATGCTTTATACCAAGATGATATCATCAAAACCAAGAGAGAGAATGATTGATATTGCACAGTATGGCTCAGTGTAAGGATTATGTCTGCATTTTGAATCCATACATAGTTCCCAGACTCAGTTTTAAGGTTAAATGAAAGAAGCAATGACAGGCATATTATGATAATTTGACACAAAGAGAAATGATACATTGCTAACACTCAGAAGAGAGTTGCTGACACTGTGTACAGTGTTTTGACAGGCCTTCTCTCTTTATATATATATAGAACTCTCTGTATTCTATGAATTTTTATCTCTTTTTTTGTTATGAATAACATTAGCCTACATATACACTTTTAATAAGCAAATTTATTTTAAATTACTAGGCTAATTGTAAGAAGAATTGCACGAAATTAAACCTCATTTAAAAACTGGAAATTCATACTGGCAACATAATCACATTCTTTTCCTCCTTTGCTGTCTGTACATTGTAATTTTGCTGTGTTTCATTCTAACTCAGGATGGGACCTTTTTGAAAATAAGAAAATAAGAAAATAAGAAAATTTCATATAGCCTCTCACTATACTTGTGTAAATGATAAAGGTCTTATTCTAAAGGATACAGAAGTAAAGTATGATAGCACTGTCTAAACAAACTATAAAATATTTCCAAAAAAAAAAAAAAAACCAAAAAAAACCCAACAAAATGAAGTCTTCTGATCCTTTTAGGAGTTTACAAAAAAAAAAAATAAATAAATAAAAACAAATAGACTTGTTCCAGTCTCTTTTCAAAGTTTTTTTTTTTCCCCCTGGAAATCTAGGAAATGAAAAACATGGTAGGACTGTCATATTCCCATCACAATATACCTGAAAGATACAGTAGTGCAATGTGGAGATAAACAAGAAAAAAAAAAGCAAACAGCCATTTAAAAAAAGGGAAGTTTAATAAGATACATATAGAACTTCTATCTGCTTGACAGGTCTTGCTTCTGAACTGTCTGGTAATAATTAAAGCTGCACAAATATTAAAGTAAGAACTAAAGACTGCACAGTTCTAAACTATGACTCAATATYTGAGTAGCTATGCATTTCTTTTCTTTATACACTTAAATATCTTTAGTACCACGGCAAAGATTATGTAAAAAGGATGTTTCTTTTTTTATTTCCTAGTGCATATACACTTTAGAATGTTGTGGAAAAGTARAGTGGACAGTGCTAATGCTTGGTAGAATTAGAAGGAAGGTGAAATGACAATACAAACGAGAGCTTCAAAGAGAAGACTGATGGAAGAAAATCTGAGGAAAAATATAACCCTTCAAAGTAGACTTTGACACTGTCTCCCATAACATCCTTGCGGGGAAGCTCTGGAAGTGTGGGTTAGATCTGGAAGTGTGGGACAGTGACGTGGACTGAGAACTGGCTGGATGGCAGAGCTGAGGGTAGTTATAAATGGGGTCAAGTCCAGCTGGAGACCTGTGGCCAGTGGTGTCCCCCAGGGGTCAGTACTGGGCCCAGTGCTGTTCAACTCGTTCATCAATGACCTGGACGAGGGCATGGAGTGCACCCTGAGCAAGTTTGYRGATGAYACCAAGCTGGGTGGAGTGGCCGACACTCCGGAGGGCTGTGCTGCCATCCAGAGGGATCTGGACAGGCTGKAGAGTTGGGCAGAGAGGAACCTCCTGAGGTTCAAGAAGGACAAGTGCAGGGTCCTGCACCTGGGGAGGAATAACCCCAGGCATCAGTACAGATTAGGGGTCGACCTGCTGGAAAGCAACTCCACGGAGAGGGACCTGGGAGTCTTGGTTGACACCAAGATAACTATGAGTCAGCAGTGTGYCCTCGTGGCCAAGAAAGCCAATGKGCCAACCCTGGCTGCATCAGGAGGAGTGTTGCCAGCAGGTCAAGGGAGGGGATCCTGCCCCTCTCCTCAGCTCTGGTGAGGCCGCACCTGGAGTACTGGGTGCAGTTCTGGGCTCCACAGGACAAGAGGGATGTGGAGCTTCTTGAGAGGGTCGAGTGGAGRGCAACAAAGATGATTAAGGAACTGGAACATCTATCTTATGARGACAGACTAAGTGAGCTGGGCCTGTTTAACCTGGAGAAAAGAAGGCTGAGAGGGGATCTTATCAACATGTAGAAATACCTGAGGGGAGGATGTACAGAGAATGGGGTCAAACTCTTCTCAGTGGAGGCCTCTGATAGGACAMGGGGTAATTAATGAGTACAAGGTGAAACACAGCAAGTTCCATCTCTATGTGAGGAGGAGCTTCTTTACTGTGAGGGTGACAGAGCCCTGGCACAGGCTGCCCAGGGAGGTTGTGGAGTCTCCTGCTCTGGAGATCTTCCAACTCGCCTGGATGCAATCGTGGATGCCATTCTGTAYCCTGTGCTCTGGGTGTCCCTGCTTGAGCAGGGAGGTTGAACTGGGTGATCTCTAGAGGTCCCTTGCAACCCCAACCATTCTGTGATGCTATGATTAGACAGGGTTCAACTATGGAAGGAATTCCAGCAACACATACCAGAACTGGCAATCTAAGGCCTCAGAAATATGTAGAAAATTGTAGAGCTTTCTTCCCTAAAAGCCAGAATCTTAGAAAGGAAGCTTGCTACTGAAGAATTTTTCATTGGTCTAGATGGTCTAGCGACAAAAACTTAAGCTATATCAGGAGCAAACAAATAAACAAGCAAAACAAACAGAAAAAGCTGTTGCATTCATTAAGATAAAGATTCTTCATGGTGCAATAAGGTCTTTTTTAAATGTGAACGCTCTGAAAAGATAAAGCCACTATCCTCTATTTCTGTTGGTATCATTTTGCAATTACACCACCAAAAATACATTTCCAGTTTTCCTTTAGACTGTAGTAAAGGTGCCTGTCCTTGCTTTGGATCTACAGCTCCCATACTATATGCATTAACAATAAATTTTCTACTTTTAGCTACTCACAAGACAGTATCATGAATAAATATTTAAATGCATTCTGATACACAGAAATGAAAACCTGATGCTAAAGAATCGTGTTGTTATGTCAAAACCTTAGGTAAAAGTGGTTACTAGGAAATATAGTATTTTGGTTCCTTCTTATAAAATTGTTAGGGAGAGAATTTCACATACAGTCTCCACGACAAATTTCCTGAATTTTGATTTTTTCCATAGAAGTTATCYATTCTAACAGAATTTCTGCTACAGGCTCTTTCAGCTATCGACTATTTCAACTACTAACACTGTCTGTGTTCCAGTGGCTGTGGCAGAACAAATGCAGGATACCAAAGTTCAGTTCCCACTGTTGAGCCAACCATACCAGAGGGCATAATCTGCAAATAAATAAATAAATAAATAAAATAAAAAGTTGAGTCAGAGGTAAAGAAGAGAAAGAGTGGGGAGGGTGCACAAAATAAGAAGACAAAGTGTCTATGGCATACACCCTCTGAGATACCAAAGCGCTTGTGCAGAGGGGCTGACATACACTATGTGGGTAGATTARCACCCGCACACCAGCCTTCTGGCTCTAGGAAGCCAATTTAACAAGTCCAAAAAGAGATGTTAAAGAGAACAAAAAAAAGTCCTAAAAGCGACATTAAAACCAGTTTTACCTGAGAGGTCAATGGGCGTGGAAAGCTACAGCTGGAGGAGGTGGCAACCTCAGCTCCAAGACTCAGACACCACAGCCAAAACAAGCTGCCACTGGAGCAGCAAGACAAAGGTCTTAAAGAAAATAACCATGGGACAAGTGTGAATTGTTTTTCTTTTTCTTTTTTTTTCTTTTTTCTTTTCTTTTTTTTTTTCCCTGGTAAGTTTCACAT